ATGAGAGAGAAGTCGTTCAGAAGAAGACTTTCACAAAATGGGTAAACTCACAGCTGTCTAAGGTAAGAGAGCTTTTTTTTTGTCATCTCTTTTCAATTATGTTGCTTGATTATTGTCTATTGCACATTGATGTCACTTTCTCTAAGCCCCCCCCCCCGCCCCCCATGACTTGTTTTGTATTTAATTCTAATTACACTCCTGTTTTGTGTGTGTGTGTTTGTTTATTTGTGTTGGTTTGCGTGCCAACACATCTCCTCTATTCCTATTTTCAAAGTTGATTACAAGGGGGCTAGAGGTGTGCCGTTGCCATGGTGACGGAGACTTAGATGAGTGTGTGTGCATACAGTATGTGTGCATGGTGGTGCTCATTGGAGTGTGTGTGAGTAAAAGCTATTGAAACAGAGTCTGGTCTAAGCCAGGTGATTAAACCAGGACAAGGACGGACAACTCTTTATTTCTATTTCCTGTCTTTCCATTTCTTTCGCCTCCTCTTTTCTTTTCAACTTCTCCACGTCCTTCCTTTCCTATCATCCATTCTTCTCTCTAGGGATGGCAACATATCAGAAATGTAGCAGCCGACAGCAACACCAGTGAAGTAATGCTATTTTTCAAACCTAATTTGATATAAAAAAATGAACAACACAATAAATCCCGGATACTTCATACACTCCCTAAAGTAGTAACTCGTGTGACATCCGTATGTCTTTCCTCTTTTATTTCCTTTCCCCTTTCAGTTATTTTTCTTACCAACTCCTTCCTCCTTCATTCTTCTCTTTCCTCCCTTCTTCTCCCTTGCTTCCCCTCATCTCCTTCCGGTTTTCACCTTCTTTCCCCTTTCCTTTAGTTTCCTCCATTTTCTTTTCCTTATTTCCACTTGGAGATATCTTGGAGTGTCAGAAATGTAAATGATAGTTGGGATGTTGGAGTTTTTGCTGTAGTGTAATGGATTCTGGTACTCCCTAAAAAGTACTGCTGTGGTTGGTAAACAAGAGGGAATAAGCTCACCCTGTGACAGATCCACACATATTCCTGAAGTGCCTCTTTTTATGGTTGGCTGAGTAGCAAATCACACTACAATCAGACATCGCTGGCAGGCATCTCTACGCCTTTTTCCTCCATATTTCTCTGGGCTGCCGTAACTACACCTTCCACCTCCTGCCATGACGTGTTCGCTCTCCCTGCTGAACTTTTGTTTTCCTCTCACTCAGTTTCCATTACGTCTCCCACTACATCCTTCATCTCCTTCCCTCTCTCCTCTCAATTTCCCCCCTCCTATAATCTCACTTTCTCACATCTGCTGGCTCGCTATCTGTTACTCTCCTGAGGCCTGTGTGTGTGTGAGTGTGTGTGTGTGTGTGTGTGTTTGTGAGAGACTCATCTATCTAGGATGGGGTACTCATTATGCTCCGCTGAGTTTGGATGGATGAGGGGATTTCTCTCCCTTCCTCTCTCGCCTATATCTCTATCCCCCTATTTCTATCGCCTTGCCTCCCAATCCAACCTTTCTTCCTCAATCTTTTTCTAAGTTTTTGTAAGTGGATAGCAACGGTCAGCTATCCCTAGCAGCAATATGCTTTCCTTAGCATATGTCTGCTATCCTTATCATTGGTCTGCTATCCTTATCATTGGTCTGCTATCCTTAGCATTGGTCTGCTATCCTTAGCATTGGTCTGCTATCCTTAGCATTGGTATGCTATCCTTAGCATTGGTCTACTATCCTTAGCATTGGTCTGCTATCCTTAGCATTGGTCTGCTATCCTTAGCATTGGTCTGCTATCCTTAGCATTGGTCTGCTATCCTTAGCATTGGTCTGCTATCCTTATCATTGGTATGCTATCCTTAGCATTGGTCTGCTATCCTTAGCATATGTCTACTATCCTTAGCATTGGTCTGCTATCCTTAGCATTAGTCTGCTATCCTTAGCAGCGGTATGCTTGGGAAAAAGAGCAGACTTAGTTATGTCATTAATGTGAGTTAACCAGCAATCTTTAAACTAAGTTTGGTATTTTCTTTTGGTCTAAGTGGTAAAAGAAACTCTCTAAATTCAGGTTTCAGAGTCTACACTGGTGGATAATGATTTATGTATTTTTTCCATAAGTTAGGACAAATAGTCTACCTCGAAGTTGCGGGAATTGAGGTAAAAAGGGGACGGAAAGAGTTAGGAGGACAGCATGCGTCCGCTGCCTGTTGTTAATTTCACACCCTGGCTGTCACTGTGTGCTCAGGTCCTCAAAAAGTGCAGAATAACCCTGATAGGGGGGGAGAGAAAAGGGAACGGGAGGACAATGAGGCTGAGAAACAAAAAGGAAAAGATAAGGATTGGGAGCACAGATGGTGGTGAGGAAAGCATCATAATGCAGGTATCGTTATGCTGATGATACACGCTAAAAGTAGAAAAATACCAACTTTGAACCAGAAACTCCATATTTATAATGTGCTACCGTTTGCCACCTTGGTACACACTACAAAGCCTCCTTGTTATTATTGTATTACCTTTACAAGTACCATATAGGTGCAAACTAAGCATTACCCTCTTCCATTTTGCCATCAATTGGGCCCCAGGAGATCGTAGACTGTGGCAGACAGAATTGCATATTGAAAACTAGGCTTACAGGGATCCAATAAAAAAGCTGATGTAATTATTCTACAGTCATTACATTGTGCCATAAACATTAACTTTGTCATTTTAAGTTGAAGCAAAACACTTCTACATCGCCTCGTGGAATGTGTATATCTTAACCCATTGCTATTGATTACACAGCCCATGGTTATACTGGATAATCGTTCATTAGTATCTACATGTAGTGCCTTAGTCTGCACTGCATGGATGTTGTTTTGACATCGTCTGTACAGTATATTGGACTGTGAAGACAGAACATAGAAGGCAAGCAAGGCAAGTTTATTGATATAGCAGCTTTCAACACAAGGCAATTCAAAAAAGTGCTTTACAAAAATGAAAAACATTGAGAGCATTAAGAAATAGTGCAGTGGAAACACATTATAAAATTGCATTAAAAAGCGTATTACATTTCTTAATCTTAATTAGTTAAAGTTCAAGGTAGCTTTTTTTATCCACTGATGGTTAGAACAGTTACAGCATTTGGATAAAACAAGAGAAATGAAATATTGATATCAAAGAATCTGAATGAGCTCATCCAGCCATATATCCTGTTCACAGTCTTTAGTGTGCTCTCTCTTCCCTTTTAGCTTCCTCGATGGCACTAGAATCTCTTCTGGGGTTTCAGAAAATTAGGAGCTGTCACACAGTAACAGCCGCTGAGTGATCCTTTTCCAAGTCAGAACTAATCCCAACCTACTGTAGAGCGGAGTGGAGCAGAGCTGCTTGCTCTTTCCACTGAGCGTCATTACCTACTGTACTGTGGATTTAAAGGTCATTGGAAGAAGTTTGCAAAGGTTAGTGGGCTTTGTCAACGGGATTTAGTGATTGGCAGCGGTTTTAGAACTCATTTTCACTGAATCACTGCTGACTGTTTTTGGAAAACTGCTGCGGCAAATAGAAGCATTACTCCACTAAATAAAGTGCTGTGGTTCAAAAGTTACCTAAATCACCTCCTGGTCTGTTGCATTTACATATTTAGGTCAGACTCCTATCTTCCTTGTCACTCAGAGCTTTCACTTTAATTACATGACTTCTTTGATCATGTTGTTGTGTTGGACAGCTTACCTGTGCCGCAGAATAATCTCCTCCCTGTGTCCGCAGGTGATCATTTGCTCTGCTGATCCATGTCAACACGTTAGCACACACTGTGTCCAGAGCTACAGGCTGCTAGCATGACCTCAAAAGTGTCAGCAACTTTAAATCTAAATGCAAATTTAAGTTGTTCTGCACGCAATGTTTGGGTAGCAATAGGATTACAGAAACATGAGGTCAGCTGTGATGTTGGTAAAGTATTGAATCTTGGATTAAAAAACACTTGGTGCCTAAAAATGTTCCAAAAGATCACGTGGGCTAATCAATTTAATTTACAGTAGTATTGGTAAAGATCTTTTAACCTATTAAACCCTCCTAATGCTTGTTTTATTTATCTCAAAGGTAAAGAAAATACTACCATTTCAGGTTAATAGTGGAAGTACAGAAGAGGATTAGGGCCATATGTCCAAATAATTTAGAGATTTTATCAAAAATGACTCAGAATTCTGACTTTTTTATCAACTCAAACTCAAAAAAATCTAAATATATCAGATTGAATCTTCCGATATGCCATGTTCTTTTTAGTTATCCAACAAAAGCATGATCTGGACAAAAGCGTTGGGAGGATACACAGTGTGTAAAATGCTGCTGCTTAAAGTCATGTAAAATCTGGAAACAGCAATTACCAAGATCCTTGACTGGAAAATCGATGTGTGTCGTAGCTGAAAGAGAAACTCTGGATTCCTCAGAGATATGTATTAAATAGAAACATGTCACAGCATTCTGCCTGTTAAATTGCTGATAACACCATCTCAGTAAACAGGGGTAAGCTTTGAAAGCGTCATGTTAGAAAGCTGCTCTGTAACAAGGAAAAACTGCCCTTCCAGTCTTAGTTTACATATTCATGCCTGATAGACGATTCTTTATTAGAAACCTCCTGAGCCTCCCACCCTAGGGCAACACAATTAATCTAAGTTTGATCAAATTCGCAATGTGGACTAGTGCAATATCTAAATCGTTAGAAAATATGCGGAATATCTGAACAGTCCTGGCCTACAAACATATATTATTCAATGTATTTTTTCCAAATGGTGCAGCCCTACTCCCCCCTCTAAAACCTGCAGATGGTATGGTCGACTCCTTATTCCAGATTTAAAGACCTTCATTAAATCATGTCATGACTGTTAGGCAAAGATAGGCCACTAAAGCAGTAAACGAGATGGTTCCAGAACATTCAATTATCTTCCTCTTTCTGTCTTATAAAACAATCCAGAAAACAAGAAGTATTCTCCTTCAATGAAAGGTCCATCCTCAGTGTGTGTGTGAGCCTTTAAGTTTCCACATAAAATATTTATTTTTTACATTTATAACCATAATTATCTTTGTTGCATTTCATTCACATGCTCTCTC